CCCGGAGCGGACCTGTTGGCCGCTTGCCACGGAGCATCGAACCAACGTGAATGATCCATCTTGGTCCGGCCTCCCTGTCCCTGGTCCTGCATGTGCATGCCTGGCCGGCCGTGCCTCTCCTCTCGTCGTGTCGTGCATGTGTGGTATGGGCGGCCGCTCCGAATTCCGAAAGGTAGTAGGCGTCGCGCTCTTCTCTCGGGACTTGGAGGTAAAAAATCGGCTGCATGCGGCCGCTGTTGACGCTTACATGCACTGCATGCGCTCTTGTGTGCGTGCGTGTGTGGTTACGGTTCGAGGAATCTTAACTTACGACGGAACGGAGCGTGTGGTCTATAGACGTGGCACGTCTGACCGTCTGTGTTGTTACGTACAACGCCCCGTGTGAACTGCGTAATCAGTTGCAAACAGTGGTTGTAGCAGAGGAGTTATGATCGATGTGCAGTGTAGCGTGACACGACTGTCTGCTCGAGGAGTAAAGGCAACGAAAGCTCTACGATTATATGCTAGCAAGGAATTTCCTTGCCGATTATCTCCGTGCACGTCTCGTACCTTTTCTTTTCTTTTTTCTTTTTTTTTCTTTTTGCGGGAATGCACGTCTCGTATCTTGGTACGCTAGCTGCTCTTGTCCCGCAATCAACATGTAGTATGATGCACTTGACGGGAATGCTGAGTTATCGTCGTGTCCATCGCTACGGGCTTTGAAAGAAAAAACCGTGACACGCACTGACCCTCGGATTTGGATAGTGCCACCGAAAGATGCTTTGCGTTTCATTCCCGTGGAAATAATCTCAGTTTATTTGTTTTTAGAAAGAATCATATCTATTATAAAAGTTAATCAGAAATACAAAGCATCTTAAATATAATAAAAAACATTACATCGATTTCAAGACAAACGACCCGACAAAAAGTGCATGTAGAGGCCAAGCTCAATTGAGCTCTTTTTTTCCAGTGTAAATACCTTTTCCACATCTCGTACATTCTGAAAAAAAAGTTTTCATGTACACATATTTGTCGTATACAAGCTTAAAATTCATGAACATATATATTCATATGTGACATACCTAAAAAAAAGGCAAATACACAGATTAAAACATGCTTTTTCTATGTTGTATTTGGACCTGATATTTGTCTTTTTTGTGTACCATGCAAATAATCCAATTAATTGATGAAAATTCAACATACTTGAAGAATATTCATATGTATTCATAGAAAAAAAATGACATTTTTTGAAAAATTTATATATACTTTGATTTATTTTTTGCAGAATGAGCTCCATGGAGCTTGACCTTTGCAACGCCACACTCAAACGAACAACCAGTACTGCCATCAGAATGAGCTACCAGCGCGCAACAAATATGACACTGGAGCCGGCTTTACCTTGTCGATAACAGCCAGGAAGTCTTCGGGTGCGTGCCCCTAAGAACCAACACCCTGGAGCGCAGTCGTCATTATTGAACCCTTTATAGATTGGAAACACATGACACCAAATCTTGTCACATGACGAGAAAAGCTTAAACTCAACGCTCCAAGGAGACGACTGAAATCTATGCCGGAGCTCCATCGACTACGTCCAAACGGATGAACCCGAGGACGATCGAAGCTCGAAATACAAACTCGAAGAAGAAGCGTCGACATCCACCTGACCATCGCGCCCGTGAGGACAAAAAAAAAGCCTAACCTAACCTACTAACTGGAGCGGAGACACTGGGATTCTTTTTCCCGTTACGGACTGTCGGAACGGCATGCAGAGGAAGGTCAACATGGCACGTGGCGGGTTCAGGTGCGGGCAATGGTCGCGCAAACCCTTAGCCGTCTCAATATTTTTCATCCAAACCCGTACCCGTACCCGCACCTCGGGCTTCAAATTGTTCACATTGTTGGGGAACGTAGCAGAAATTCAAAATTTTCCTACGAGTCACCAAGATCTATCCATGGAGAGACTAGCAACGAGGGGAAGGAGAGTGCATCTACATACCCTTGTAGATCGCTAAGCGGAAGCGTTCAAGAGAACGGGGTTGAAGGAGTCGTACTCGTCGTGATCCAAATCACCGGAGATCCTAGTGCCGAACGGACGGCACCTCCGCGTTCAACATACGTACAGCCCGGTGACGTCTCCCATGCCTTGATCCAGCAAGGAGAGAGGGAGAGGTTGAGGAAGACTCCATCCAGCAGCAGCACAACGGCGTGGTGGTGATGGAAGAGTGTGGCAATCCTCCAGGGCTTCGCCAAGCACCGCGGGAGAGGAGGAGTAGGGAGAGAGGTAGGGCTGCACCAAGAGGGAGAGGTTCTCATGTGTATGACAGCCCAAAACCTCAAGTATATATAGGGGGAAAGGGGGGCTGCGCCCCCTTTAGGGTTTCCCACCCCAAGGGGTGCGGCCAGCCCTAGATGGGACTTGGGGGGGCGGCCAAGAGGGGAGAGAGGGGAGGCGCGCCTGGGGTGGGCCTTAGGGCCCATCTGCCCTAGGGTTTGCCCTCTCCCCTCCTAGTTGCGCCTTGGGCAAGGGTGGGAGGCGCACCAGCCCACTCTGGGGCTGGTCCCTTTCCACTCTAGGCCCATGCAAGCCTCCGGGGCCGGTGGCCCCACTTGGTGGACCCCCGGGACCCTCCCGGTAGTCCCGGTACGTTACCGATAAAACCCGAAACTTTTCCGGTGACCAAAACAGGACTTCCCATATATAAATCTTTACCTCCGGACCATTCCGGAACTCCTCGTGACGTCCGGGATCTCATCCGGGACTCTGAACAACATTCGGTAACCACATACAAACTTCCTTTATAACCCTAGCGTCATCGAACCTTAAGTGTGTAGACCCTACGGGTTCGGGAACCATGCAGACATGACCGAGACGTTCTCTGGTCAATAACCAACAGCGGGATCTGGATACCCATGTTGGCTCCCACATGTTCCACGATGATCTCATTGGATGAACCACGATGTCAAGGACTCAATCAATCCCGTATACAATTCCCTTTGTCTAGCGGTATTGTACTTGCCCGAGATTCGATCGTCGGTATACCGATACCTTGTTCAATCTCGTTACCGGCAAGTCTCTTTACTCGTTCCGTAACACATCATCCCGTGATCAACCCCTTGGTCACATTGTGCACATTATGATGATGTCCTACCGAGTGGGCCCAGAGATACCTCTCCGTTTACACGGAGTGACAAATCCCAGTCTCGATTCGCGCCAACCCAACAGACACTTTCGGAGATACCTGTAATGCACCTTTATAGCCACCCAGTTACGTTGTGACGTTTGGTACACCCAAAGCATTCCTACGGTATCCGGGAGTTGCACAATCTCATGGTCTAAGGAAAAGATACTTGACATTAGAAAAGCTTTAGCATACTAACTACACGATCTTTGTGCTAGGCTTAGGATTGGGTCTTGTCCATCACATCATTCTCCTAATGATGTGATCCCGTTATCAACGACATCCAATGTCCATGGTCAGGAAACCGTAACCATCTATTGATCAACGAGCTAGTCAACTAGAGGCTTACTAGGGACATGGTGTTGTCTATATATCCACACATGTATCTGAGTTTCCTATCAATACAATTATAGCATGGATAATAAACGATTATCATGAACAAGGAAATATAATAATAACCAATTTATTATTGCCTCTAGGGCATATTTCCAACAGTCTCCCACTTGCACTAGAGTCAATAATCTAGTTCACATCGCCATGTGATTAACACTCACAGGTCACATCGCCATGTAACCAACATCCAAAGAGTTTACAAGAGTCAATAATCTAGTTCACATCACTATGTGATTAACACTCAATGAGTTCTGGGTTTGATCATGTTGCTTGTGAGAGAGGTTTTAGTCAACGGGTCTGAATCTTTCAGATCCGTGTGTGCTTTACAAATCTTTATGTCATCTCCTAGATGCAGCTACCACGCTCTATTTGGAGCTATTCCAAATAACTGTTCTACTTGGAGCTATTCTAAATTGTTTCTCCATTATACGTATACGGTATCTCTACTCAGAGCTATCCGGATAGGTGTTAAGCTTGCATCGTCGTAACTCTTTACGTCGAACTCTTTATCACCTCCATAACCGAGAAAATTCCTTAGTCCACTAGTTACTAAGGATAACTTTGACCGATGTACTGTGATCTATTCTTGGATCACTCTTGTACCCCTTGACTGACTCATGGCAAGGCACACTTCAGGTGCGGTGCACAGCATAGCATACTATA